GAGTACGTTTGTTATAGAGTGACTGTTGAAATTAAGTGTATCGTAAAGTTGTATTCGGAAAGAATAAACCAGTTTTATTAAGAAAGGACTTGTGTCGCTAAAGTTTCGTCGAACGAATTTACGGGAAATCAATTAACAAACGGAGACGTAACACTACTAATGTCATACGACATCTGAAACGTCAAACCTAATATTCTGGCTATTTTGTTATTAGTTTCAGTCACGGTTTTGGACGAATCTTGTTTAAGCCAAAAGCATTTCTCTCTCTCTTTAAGTTCCTCAAGCTCCTCAAAAACAGCTATTTCCATGTTAATGATAAACTTCAAGAAAAGCTATTCTCCACCATATATAATCAAATGTTTTCTTTATGGTAAAATAAAATTAACAAAGATGTGTACTGCTAGCTTATTATCATGTAGAGATAATGCTCTTGTGCTTCTTAAACTTGAAATGTTGCAACATCAAAATAAAATATGCCATTGTGAAAACTTGTGTAGTTGTGACCAAGAAATTTTTCTATCAAGCCTTAAATTTGTTATACAACAGTAGTAAAATCCGATTTCAGTTTACAATTCACATTATGTAATATACCACACAACACAGATTCTATAAATGTATTACAAGCATTATTAAAGATTCAAAAATTACTATTACAGACTAGTCCACAACAGAATGCTAAAAACTTAATGCAATGTTTAAATGAAACATTTTGACTGTAAATTAACTGTAAACCAAATTAAGGCCACTAATTTCCCAATATTTAAGTTGAACTTATTTGAGATCAGAAAATTATATTTTTTCAACAATAAATGAAAAAAATTGCATTTTAATATGTATTTAAGGAAAAACTACTAATGCTATCTACGGGTAGGCAGCAATTCTGTAACACTCTACCAAACATCATCCATGCTAAAGGATTGACTGTTACTGTGAGAAATCTTTTGTAGTGTTTTACAGACTCGAACCAACCCTAACTAACAGCATTAATCTTGAGTGTAAGAAGAATCTTGAAAAGGTGACCAAAATATACAAACTTATGGTTGATGATGGTTCCAAAAGAACACAAGAAATAACCTCAAGAGAGATAAGGTTCCCAATACTTAATTAGAATATTATGTAAATATACTTGACCCAAAAAGAGGACAATCAAAATTTTTTAAATATTATTAACTTCTTATCAAAGTAAGCTACCTACATTGTTCAGTTTAGAATAGGAGCAGAGCACATCAGAACAAAAGATAGATAGACAGATAAAGATTTCCTTATAAAAAATTGAGAACATCATTATTTTTTTTGTTATCTATAAAAACCAGACTTTTCAGTTCTTCCTTTAATTTTAACAATAGAAATAGTTCAACAAAATTGAACAGATATATAAAGTAGAAGGGGGTAGAAAAGATTAAATATTTTAGTAACATTAGTTATACATATATATATTGTTACGACAGCGGAAGTCATGTAACGCTGGAAGCATGCGAGCTGGAGATTCTAGAAGGATCATGTCTGTTCGTGGCAACTCTAGTCTTCTCTATTCTTGTATATAAGTGCGCCAGACAATGAATCAGAGTGGGAATTGCACACAGAGAGATATAGAGACAGATAATCGAGTCAAGCCGTAAGTAAAGTGCATGAATCGTTGTGAATTCTAGCGTGTGTTTAAGTTAAAGTGACTGTGGAAATTAAGTGTATTGAGAAAGAATAAACTAGTTTTATTTAAGAAAGGACTTGTATCGCTGAAGTTCTTCAGAAAGAATTTTTATGGCAAATTAACCAACGACCAGAGACGTAACAATGTATATATACACACATTCTTCTGTTCTATACATTGGAAAACCTGGAAGGTAACAAAGACAGCTTCAACATATACTACCTTATAAAAAGAATTATCCTATAAATGATACTATATACTGCTAAATGCCAAAAATATTTACCTTACAAAATAATGGAAGCATATTATAAATACGATGCTCCTGTTCTTCTTGGCTTAGTGGCTGAGGAGGGTGCATCAACTCCACAAAAACCTTATGTAGGTGCATAAGTCCTAGAGCTGCATGTTGTTTGTTTACAGTGCAGTCTTCTGGAGCAACAGCTGACCCTCGAGAATGACCAGTCAAAAGCTTCCTCATGATGTTCATTCTGTATACATATAATAAAACATACAGTTTAAGAATGCTGAACAAGTATGCGAAACTGAAACCTTCTACCATGTCAGCTGTCTTTTGAGAATAATTTATTATCCAGATGTACTCATGCAGGGTAACTGAAAGTGTTCTGTTTCAAGAGTAAATAAAACCAAAATTAAGAGTAACAAATATTTTTATTTCTTGCTTTTGAAGTTCATATGTCATGCTCTGTTGTGGCCTGCAGAGTGCATAATCCTTCTCATGATTCATGGCATCCACACATTTTACTAACATCACGACCGTACAAATTGCAACATTAAGCATCCCTTATGTGATGTCATTTTAGTGTCTACTGACTGACTGACAGACAAAACACTACTGCATACTGGTGTGAGTGGTTAGAACAGGTGAACCCTCCAGGCAGCTTTCAGCCCCCTTTCAGGGAAACAAGTTCACAATACCTTAAGTGTTAACTACATTTCAAAGTATCAAAGTTTTTATTTTGAATGGAACATTTAAAAACTATATATACGTTAACCTTAATTCAAATTTTGCATGTAGTTCAGTTTGTTTTGTTTTTAACAAACTTGTACATTAGAATGAACTACTTATTTTTTCCACAGTTTTGTTTGGATTATGTGAAAACTGAAAAAAAAAAAGAACTTTCTTCTTCTTTTACATCATCTTATATGTAATATTTCATAAACAATGGATTAAAAACTCATAGCATATGAGAAGGCATATGTAAAATAAAAAACTACAAATAATAATTGGACATTGGACAATGTCTGTCAAAAGTATCTCCGACCAAATCATGTCTCATATGACATGTTATACGTTCAAGAAAATCATCTGAGAATTTTTGTTAAATCCTTATATAATCTATTCTTAAGTAAACACTTCAGTGAGAGCTTTTTTTGGTACTATATATGCCAAAAAAAAGATGTTTAAAAAACCTATAAAAAACACTTTCCAGTTCTATAGTTTGATCCCCAATCTTCTAAACTGACTAGATTACAACACAAACCACTTTATTTACTCCACATCCATTTAAATAGTTTATAACCTGCTATATCCAATCATATTTAAGCATTACTTACAGCTATCGTGAAAGTTGTGTTTTATTAGTAAGTGTTCAGGCCAAATGCTGTAGCATCATAAAAGGGTAAAAACTAAGACTATAGTAATAAAACCAATGAAAGAAAAGAAAGATCATGTGACAAACGAGACACGAATAATTATATTGTAAAAGGATGATAGTTTCTTAGCAAATATAAACCTAAACTTTTGGAATGGGCAGAAAAATTATTTAAAAAGTGTTGTTTCCACAGTAATTGCATGAAGTTGTACAGAAATGAATGTTCCAACATTAGTTTTATTTTTCTTTGTAAATCACACTAATAAAATGTTACAAAATTAGAAAACATTAATTCTAAAATGTTGGGGTTAAAAACTGTTTAAACACAAGTTTGTTTGCTTTTTACTTGAAGTCTTGAAACGTGACATACAAGCGTGCACTGGACCCCTGAGAAGTCATTGGTTGTGAAAGGGGGTAGTTTCATATTATATCTTACCTCCACAATTCAAAATCATTTTTACTGTTCTTATCAACTTACTTTTGACATCATAGTTTTTGTATATAGAAAAGTAGCAAGATAAAGTAAACTGTAATCGTATATGAAATAGTCAAAATTAGTATGCCCAGTCAAATTTAGTAAAATTATATTTTGTGTCCAACGAAATTCAACTTGTGTCTAATCAAAATAGTAACCCGATCAGACATATGTCCTGCAAAGAAAAGAATATTTTCTTGCAGCCCTGCATACTTGATAGCCTTGACATTTTTTAAGGTTTTTAATGTCTTATTCCGGAAAAATAAAAAACTTTGAATGTTCAAGAAGGTAAGCCTACTAGATTTAAAAAATTGAAAACAAAGAACTTTAATGACTATTTTTAAAAATATCCAGATAAACAGAAAATTCCTGAAAAATAAAATATCACTCACATGGGTCATGTCTCAAAAAACAAAAATTAAAAAAGGAGTTGAGAAGCTATATATTCATCAATTGACCTCCACTGTTGATAACACTTTGATATCCAGAACTACTGATCACTTTGAAAATAATCTTGAAGAGATTTGATAAAAAGCATTCAGCATGGTTTTGGAAGGACCAAGTACTTGTGATAAAGCTTCTACTTCTTTGATTAAGGACACCCTGTGAATATTACTTGCATTAAATTCATAAGGCTTTTGACAAGCTACTGCATAAGACTTTAATTGTCAAGTTTTTATGACATTTGTGAAAATGTTTAAAAAAGTACAAATCAATAAGCTCGATAGTAATATATCCTAATTCCCTGATAATTCTGCAATGTTCTCACACTGGTGCAACTGACTTTTGTACTGGCCACCCTTATTAGTTTTCTATCCTATTGAAAAACAAATTTGAATTACACAATGCTTCATATTGAGCTGTAATGGTAAGGTGCTAAACATTCAGTTATAGATGATGTGATTAAATAAACACGTTGACTTAATTGATATTGTGCATGTACAAACAAATTTATTTGTAGCCTGCAAGGATTACTCTACTTTTGAAACACAGTTTTCTCTGCTTATAATTTTTTTTTAAAGAGCAAGTCTGGAAACTTCACAATCTTCTTCAATTCTATGTTTATTAAATCTTTTAATTACATTCGTTGATAAATTATGTATATCACTGTATGTGCTTATTGTTTCATTATGCATATCTTGAAGATTTTGTATTAATATGTATAAAAACTCACCCACTTGAGGAACGTTCTACAAAATTATACAGTAAATCACATTGCATTCACATTGTATATGACTTATGCATTAAACATTAATCAGGAAAATATTACAGCCATATTCTGCCTCATTGTCCTGTGTCTTGTATTTGTTTTTTTGAAAATAAAATAATTACATGTATGTATTCATTTAAGTATTTTTTTTTATTAAAGTCTATCTTTTAGACTATTTTCAGAACTACAATTGTTTTCATGGCTGCTCCAATTTTAGAAAGACCTCTTGGTCTAACATGAATATACACAGTCCAGCATTAGGCTTAACTTTATAAAAGTTTCTCTAATCAATGGAAGAATTTTTCTAGTAAACTACAGTATTTATCTAGAAACAGTAAAACCATCACTTGGACTTGATCTCAGCTGGCAGGTGTAATAACATTAACACTAAAACGTATATCTAAAGATGGCTTATGTTACACAATGAAACACTTCGAAGGCTAATTTCTTTTGATGGAAAGGAAATAGCTTGATACTTAATAGCCGAGTTTGAATCTCAAAGCATGATTGTACCAACAGTAAAAAAATATTGTGGAATGAACCTGAACTATTAACATTAAAAAAAACAAGTGACAGAAAGTTAGTCATCTATTCCTCACACACAACAACAGATTATCAAAATATCAAACCAAAAGTAAAATAGGCAATCACACCAATACACCTCAGTAACAAAAACAAAATAATTCAAACAACCCAAGTCACATCATTACGTAAGCTCTTTTACAAGCTTCTAATTCTAACTGAACAATAATTTTGACAAAGAACAAGCTTCCAAATTTTAAACTATCACCTTAATATTCAATTTTGCATTTCCAGCTTTTATATTCTACTTATCAAAATGACAACCCAGGAGACGGTTGTCCAAACCTTTAACAAATTCCATACTCCAAGTACATAACTATACAATTCTAAATATTAAGATTCAATTTTCATGTCCTGACTCTAATAAAGTAATTTTAGCAAACAACTAACAAACCACTCTCTTGTGATATATTTAACAGAAAGCTTTGTAAAAATCAAATATACACCACAAACCATACAACCAGTAAAACACGAGAACTCTAAAAAACTAAACTCCAAGTCAGTAAGGTCTAAGCCACAATTTTTTTAATACTTATAATTATTAATTAAATGCCTAGACCTACTAATGATTTTCTAAAAACTTTATTATAAAATCCAAGACATTTAACTTTAATGCTGAAAAGTATCAAGTCATGATGTAATATGACAGAATAAACATGGAGAGGATTTACCAGCTGTGTGACAACAATGCTATCATTATTAATAAGAAAAGATCACAGTATCATTGCCAATAAACAATGGTAGCATATGACCAAGTATTTGTTGTAGTGACAAAGGTGACACGTGTGTCAAGTTTCATCAACTAACATTTTCAACTTAAGAAAGTTGACACTATGTATAAGACTCAACCGTAATGCAGTGATCAGTTCTCACCTCTTTCGTATAAGAAAGATACTGATCTTCAACTATTTCTGTTTGTTTGCTGTTAAGCACAAAACTCTACAACAGATTATCTGTGCTCTGCCCATTGTGGGTATCAAAACTTGATTTTATTAACATTATAAGCCCCCAGACTTACCAGTAAGCCACTGGGTGGGGGATAATGATCTTTTAGAAAGGATCCAGAGAAAGATAATCACAGTAACACTTGGTTTTAAAAATATGAGATACATGATGGGGATGTTTAAACAATTTCAGTTTGTTTTGTTTTTTTGTTGTTTTCAAGAGTGAAGAACACTATATCCAAGATTTTGGTTCTCAAAATTGTTAGGAGATTGGACAGAATACCCGTAACTGTAAGATGCCATTTGCCTGAGCTGGTAAGTCTGCTGAGGGTGACATAATATTACATATAAGAATAGGCTTAGACAATCTATATCCAGACTTTAAACAATTTTCTAAGTTGGAATTGTTAACTTGTAAAATTATTTACCTGATAATTGTAGAATTAAGTTCATTTTTCCTGTTGTTATTGAATAGGTATTTATAGGTAAGAGATAACTTTCAGACAGGTAAGCATTTATTGTTTCTAAGTTTGAAGCGTACACGTACATGACTCTCTCTCACTTCCATTGTTCATAGATCTTATGTACAAATGAAACACTTTATCTTTGGTATTCAGATCAATTATTTTATTAAGATTTCCTACCAAATAATTCTCTAAACCAATCCTTTTATAATTAAACAAGTCAAAGAAATTTTCCTGAAATGCCTAACCAGAGAATTTTGTTTTTTTTTATCAATTTATTAGAAAGATACTTCAGTGTATTAAAATTATTGACTTTTAGTTATAAGTTATTTCATTCAAATTCTCTCTTACTTTAAGGATCAGAAGCTATAATAAATGTTTCTAAAACTGACTAAATACCAGTAAAAAATATCAAATATTTTAAAAACAATAATAATAATTATTGCTTTTGTATGACACCAACTTTTTAAAACTTGTTTTGGTTAGTATACTGATATGGGTATATACATACAATTATAATAAATATTAACATTTAGATATAGTTTGTTTCTTATTATAATCTTATTAAAACAGTAAAACATTTTATAAATACAACAAAATTGTGGAATTATAAGTTCATCTAGACCTCCATGTATCTTGGTTCATTAATAATTAAGTCACAATATCCATTTAATTCATAGGGTAAGAACTAGAATGACCTCACAAGATCAGACAGAGTACTTAATTCAAGTTTGAAATGGTACTTGCATAAATGGTAATATGTATATAGACATTTTAAATAATGCTATATCTAAACACACAACTACTACTATCTGTTGATACACTAGAAAACATTAAGTACTATCAAATAAATCATACAAGTGAAGATGATGTACGTATAGTTCCGATTAAGTCTACAATTCTACTAAATTAAATCAAGAAACAAACAACTGTGTTACTAAGATCACTCAATACCATTTACAAAAGAAGGATGAAACAATGTATGTCTCTTATGGTATGGTGCATACTGTAGTAATTTAATTATAAACATTTGTTGGACTGTTATGGTGGTTATTTTTCAAAATGATAGTTATTAGTATTCAGTAATATTCTTACCACACAGTATTATCACTGTTAGCTATGTACTTTGCATTGCTGCTGGTAATAATAGTGCCTTTAGCAGTTCCAAGTTGATTAAAGAACTTTAAGAGTGCTGTGCTCTAGGGTGGTTCCCACAGATATATTCAAATATCAAATCTTGAACTCTTATACCCTTTTTTTTTTCAATTGGTGAAAAACTGCTCACTACAAAATTTCATCAAACTCAAATTATATTTAAGAGGTGCCTCATTAACCTTAACATTTTTATTATTTCTGCTTGATAAGCACCTTTCCCTTCTCCCTTACAATAATTCATGTGATTGTGCATAGAAGTGTAGACCTCTCACATCCATTTCTGCAATGTTGTGACACTAGCATAAATATTATTAAATGCATCAAGAAACCCATCTACACAATTCTAATTCCTGGTTGCTTGACAAGGCATGAATGCAGTACTTGTATACTTATGTGTAACTATAGGTTACTTGGGCTCAGTTATTTATTTAGGTGAAAAAAAAAAATCCTTTTGAGTTTATTTTAATTAAATTTCCCTTACTCCATTTGAAAAAAAAAATAGTTGGCTACACTGCTTTATCATTATATTTATCAGTTTTCAGGTATTTCACTATGGCTGCTACATGGAGTCTGAAGGAAATTTTTCTTAATGGAAGCATTAATGATAAGTTTACAGGGCCAAAACTACCATCAAATGTACAAGTCCTTCAAGTGTTCTTTCATTTACATTCTGAATTGAAGTTGACAGTCAAGGAACGTTCCACAAAGACAATCAACCTTGTTCAGCTCTTTAGGGAGAAAGCTGGCATTCTTACTAGGCCAAAGTAGCATGTGATCTACAAGGTAGAAGATTTCTTCCAGAGGTGAAAGAACACCCAAAAAAAAAACAAGTCACATAGGTCTGGAGCTCAAGTTCAGGAGGAGGAGGAAGAGTTCATAAAGTTGGTCCAGGAGCTATCTGACATTGCCCATCAAGATACTCTGCAAATCCTGACCATTGCACAAAGACATGGTCATGGATGCATGACCTCTGTGAATAAAAAGACAAGGAGGAAGAAGATCAAAAAAGCAGAAGGAGATAAAAGATCTCAGTATAGAGTCCAAAATAAGGCAAGCACAGAAATGCAGAATGGAGGAAATTGCTGAACTGGAGATTTCAAGCACAGTGTTGATGAGCACAGCACTGTAGAGGAGGCAGAAAGAGCAATGGGTTATGCTGGTCCTTCACATACTCCCCACTGTCAAAGCAAATTTGGAAGGAGATGAACACTCTGAAGCTAGACACTGACCTGCATTGTAGTTGAAAGATAAGTGGCAGGATTGTTGTTCATATCACTGGCACAGCAGCTACAAACTTAAGCCAAGATGCAAGCATAATCAACATCAATAGATTCTTAATATCAAGGGCAATAATCTGGCATGTAAAGTGAAATAGAACTTTTAGGTGGATGTACATCTCACAGTTTACTGGGATGGTAAACTGTTGCCTGACTTAAAAGGCAAAGGGACAATTGATTGCCTTCCAATTTTGGTTTCAGGATCTAGAGTCAGTCAACTACTTGTGATACTAAAGTTGCTGAATTGGACAGAAGGGTACACAGCTGGTGCAGTATATGCAACTATTAAACATTGGGGCATCAAGAATCACATTTATGGCATGACTTCTGCAAACACAGGTCACAAATCTGGAGCTTGCATCTTCTTGGAACAGAAAATGAGAAGGAGACTGCTCTCATTCACATGTTGTCACCATGTGCTTGAGGTTGTCCTCAAGTCTCTCAGCATCAGACGCTGTAACCTAATTCCAAGAAGTCTACTATGATTTCAGCCCTAAAGTACAATACAAATTCAGTATTCATCCATTTCTGAAACAATTAATTCACAAACACTGGCATCATTTCAGTGTTATTTACATCAACTTTCACATCCTTTTCAATTTGTTCTATACTGTTCTAAAAACTATTTGTTCAAAAACAAAACCTTCAAGTTTTGATAATCACTTTTAACTCCTGCAATGCCCCAGAAATAAATCTCAATTTCCTTGAAATTTCCCAGGTATTATTTTTTTCTAGTTTAATGTGATAGATTGAGGGGGGGGGGGGTGAGAGCATGATATTTTCAAAAACAGGAGCCACGTTATTGTGCACTAAGGAAAATTTGCCTCTCCTCCTTTTAAGTTTTAGCTAGACAGAGTATATAATATATACAGGCTGTAAATATCAGAACAACTCTTTACATTAGTATTATTATTAATAAAAACTTAAATATTTCTCAGCAGAAAACACACAAGCACCATTGGCAGTGCAAAGGCTTCATATTATTCTAATAATTTAATGTCAAATATAATTTATTTAAAAAATCCTTGTACTCTGCCCCATTGAACTAATAACAGATGGGCTGATAAAGTATTAACATTATGCTCATTGTAAAACATACGTGAGTGAAGAACGTTTATGTGTATTGTTAATTTAGGTCAGTTATGATTGTCATATGTACATATTTCTGGAATCTCGTTGAGGTATTCTTCCTCATTAAGCTTGGGTACTTGTGCAAGTGCATTGAGTACACAATGGTTTAATCCGGTCCAAACCTTTATTTTAGTACAAAACACTTCGACTCGTACTGCTATTGGTAATACTCATCTAACTGTACACTAGTAGTAGCACAGTGCTAATACTAACACTGTTGTGGTAGTACGAAAGTTAATGGTAGGCGGATTTCGAATTGTTTTACTCTCACTGAAGTTACTCTTAGTTTAACGACGTTCCGTAATGTTATGTAGCGTTGTAAGTTGCACTTGTAGACTAGTGTTAGACGCAAGAATTATTCTCATTAAAATTTAAATATGCCCATTTTGATCATTAAATTAGTCTAAAATTTAAGAAGAAACTTACTTGTTCAATCTTAAATACTTTTAGGTCTTTGTTTACATAGCTATCTGTTCCTGTAGGTTTGACACGTTTAACTAACTTCATATGTTACAAAAACCATCTTCAACTAAACTCACCATCCATCTAGTGTTAAAACTATTAGCCACTTCTGTTATTGATTACACAAAAGCGTCCCCTACCTACAACAGTTTTAGCAACCGCAAATATTCTGCGAAACAAGTATGAAAAACATTTAAATTCCTTATAGTTTGTTTGTTTGTAATTAAGCACAAAGCTACGCAATGAGCTATCTGTGCTCTGCCCACCATGGGTATCGAAACCAGGTTTCTAGCGTTGTAAGTTTTATTAGTGCTTTCACTATTGAAGAAGAGGGTGAGCTTCCTTATCTGTCCAATTTCTTTAGAAATATATATATATATAATAGCAGAGACGCGCAAAACATTTCCGGCTAAATTAGTATCTTTATTGTAGCAGTACTTCTTTAAATATAATATTTCTAGCACAATACAAACGATTTGCAATCGTAGACAACGAAATGTGTAAATCCACTTGTATATAGGCCATACTTTATAAAACTTTACCTTACGTTAGGCCTAAGTTTGATAAAGGGATAAATTAACACTAACATGTGTACGTTTTTTTTTACTTTAGTTAGGACTAAACTTTACTGTACTTAATACTGACGATAGATAAACTTGTAATGTTATTCTACAACCTAATGTCAAACCTTTTTTAAAACTTTGATAAGTTTTTAATATTCTGTTGTACAAAATGGTTAA